TCTTGGAACAATTCCTACTTAATCATGGCGTATAATTCTTTTAACATGTTGTTGAGTGCAATTCACTAACATTTTGTGAAGGATTTCTAATATTCATGGTTATGAAGGACATTGGTCTAGTTTTTATTTCACATTGTCTTTGCCTCATTTGGTATTAGGATAATACTAACATCATGAAATGAATTGGAAAATGTTCCTTTCTCATTTTTTAATGTAGAATTGGTGTTAACTCTTCTATAAGCATTTGTGAAATTCTTGAGCAAAATTATCTGGGTTAGAGATTTTGGGGGGCAATTTTTAAATTATGAATTTTAATATTATTATTAGTTATGGGACTACTACTATTTCTTAATGGGTGAGTTCATGGTTTTTTGGAAATTGTCACCTAAGGTGTCAAATTTATGTGTGTAAAGTTGTTCATAGGATTTCCTTACTATTTTTTGATAGCTGCAGGATCTATAGTGATACAGCTGTTTCATTCATGATATTGGCCATTTGTATCATCTCTTTTAAACAAGTTTTGCTAGAGGTTTATCAATTTTATTGAACTTTTCAAAGAACTGGGTCTTTGTCTCATTTATTTTTTCCATTGTTTTTGTTTTCATTTTACCTAATTTTGTCAGCTTTCTTCATCTGCTTGCTTTAAGTTTATTTTGCTCCTTTTCTAAGTTCTTGAGGTTAGAGAATGGATACTGATTTGAGACTTTTACTCTTTTCTAATGTATGCAGTTAATGCTGTGGATTTGCCTCTCAGCATGGCCTTACCTATGTCCTACAAATTTGACATGCTTTATTTTCATTCAGTTCAATGTATTTTTAAATTTTCCTTGAGACTTCCTTTGACCTATGTATTATTTATAAGCTCTTTGTTTAGTTCCCAAATGTTGAAGGATTTCCTGTTATCATTCTGTTATTGACTTATAATTTGACTCTGTTGCTTGGTATGATTTAAATTCTTTTTAAAAGGTGAGTTTGTTTTTTGGCCCAGGAAATGTTCTACCTTAGGATATGCTCCCTGGGCACTGGAAGAAAATGTGTATTCTGCTGTTGTTGGACACTTATATGAATATTGATTAGACTCTGTTGGTTGGTGGCATTATTGAGTTCTCTATCCTTCCTACTTCCTATTTAGCTGTTTATCAGTTGTTGAGAGGGATCTTGAAGTTTCTGGCTATAATTATGTGTTTGTCTATTTCTCATTCCAGTTGTTAATTTTTGCCTCACTCATTTTGTAGCTCTCTGGTTTGATACATACATGTTTAGAGTTGCTGTGCCCTCTTCATGGGTCAACTCTATGATAAGTTTCTGTTCCTCTCTGCCTCTGATTGTTTGCTTTGTACATTATATTAATATAGCCATTTTTTGAAAATATTTTCTCTCAGTCTGTGACTTATACTTTTAATCAAATTTTTTTCATCTTTGGTTTTAGAAGTTTGTCTTATGGAAGTTTGTCTATTGGGGGAGTTTGCTTGGCTAATTTACCAAATTTGAAAGATTTTTTTCTATTATTTTCCTAGAGTACTTCTCCCGCATTGTCCTTTTCCTACTCTTCTTCTGGAATTCTCATGCCATGAAATTTAGACCTTTTTTTATAGTCCTACAGGTCCAAGAGGCTCTGCTCATTTTTTCAACAAATTTTCTCCCTATTTCTCAAATTAGGCAGCTTTTAATTATTGTTCAGTCACTGATTTTTTCCTCTGTTCCTTCCATTCTGCTGATGAGCCATACATAGAGCTTTTGATTTTCGTTATTGTATTTTCCAGTTCTAAAATTTCCATTTCATTCTTCTTTATATCCTTTGTTTCTTTGCTGAGACCTTCTATTTATTTGCTGAGATTTGTTTTTGTTGTGTGTTCATTATTGCTCTTGAATCATTTTTTATTGTGGCTGCTTTAAAATCTTTTTGGATAATTCTAACATTTGTCATTCTTGTGTTGGCATCTATGGATTCTTTTCCATTCAATTTGAGATATTCTTTGTTTCTTTGTAGACTAATTTTCAACTGAAACCTAGACAATCTGTTACAAGATTGGATCTTATTTAAATTTTCCTTTTTATATGACTTCTTCTGATACCACTCCAGAAAACAAAAGGGGTCACTGCCTCATTACTGCCAGGTAAGGGTAGAAATCCAGTTTCTCACTCAGCTTCTATTGCCAGTTGAGGGGGGTGGGGAGTAATCCTCATCATTGTTGGGTGGGAATGAGGGTTCTGGGTCCCCTCTAGGCCTCTGCTGAGGAGAAGTGTCTCATTACTGCTTCCCATATGGCCTCTACTGACACCACAGTGAGGCAGTGTGGGTGGGTAGGGAGGATGGGGGTATTTGGCCTTTTTACTACTGGATGCTGACAGAAGTTTTAATTCTCCACTAGACTTCCTGTAATACCACGCAGTGGGGAGTGGGAAAGAGGTGTCTGTGGAAGAGGGAGTAGTTGGGAGTCTAGGCTGCCATGTGATCTCTGCTGGCATTATTAGGGCAGGGGAAAGGAATTCCTTGTCACAGTCTGATGAGAAGTCTAATTCCCCACTCAGTCTTTGCCAGCATGGCCACAGGTGAAGTCACAGGTTTTTCTGTGGTGTTTGAATGGAGTACAGTGGTTATTGCCTTCCAAGTGCTTTGGCTAGACAGAGCAAACCTGTGTTGGGACTTCTGTCTGCACTGGTTGGCGTTTTGGCATCGTCTGTTTCTTTTGCTCTAGGTCTGGGACATGAGGCAAAAAGGAAACTCAGCAAACTTAACTCTGTAGTTTCTCAGGCCTTCAGGTGTCTGGCAGACTCTTCCTTCTCTCCACCTTGCAGTCTTCTCAAGTTTGTTCAGGGATTTTATTTATACCTAAGGGAAGGATAGGGTAAAATCTACTCTATGAGCTTTACTTTGGATTATTTCTGCCAGTAGTTTTCACAAAGTTTGGACAAAAAGATGAAAGTCTGTTATTTATTTCTTGCAGCAAAGAGCAATAGTGTAAAAGGCATGAGATGTAAGTGTGAAGTCAGAACTCTCTTATTGGCTTTTATTTTGACTGTATGCTGACTACCATATTACACAGAAATAGAAAGAAGTCTAAGACAATGACCCTGGCTTTAGGTAGCATGCAAGCCAGTTAGGAAGTCAAGATATGGATTGCAAAGTGGATTTGCCACATAAAGCAGTGGCTACTATGTGCTTAGTGAGCTGTGTGGTTTATCAGAGCAGAAGGACACTAAACAGGTCCCATTTTCCCTAGAGGAGACAGAATGTAAACTCAGCTTTTAAAAACCATACAAAGCAGATTTGAATATTATGGAAGGAGGTAGCTATTGAGGTAGAATAGAAGTAAAAAAAAAAAGGCATACAGTCATTATTATTAATAATTAAAGCCCAGTATTTAATTATAAGGTATGTTTTAGATTTTGGGCAGACTGCCAAACACAGTGTTTTATGTATTTATCCCTTGCAATGTGCTTTTAAAATAGGAATTACTTCCCATTTTACAGATGAAGAAACTGAGACTCAAGAAGGTAAGTTCCCAAAACTCACACAATTGTATTAAGAGGAAGTGCTAGGATTTGTGCCAAAGGCCTGTCTGAAACATCTTAGCATTACCCTAGAATATCTGGATGACATGTGACATTTTCTAGAACATAGGAAGAAGATAAGGTTGGAAATCACATTTTTTAGCAGGGGGATCCCTGAACATTTTAGAGCAAAGGAGGGCCAAACAGTAGGCCTCTGCCAGGCCTCTGCCTCTACCTGGCAGAGGGGACCTAGAGTAGAGGAAGAAAACAGAAAGGGAAAGGGGCCTGGTTTCCATAAGTAAGCTGACTTCTGCACAGAATCCCTGGCTGGATTATCTTTAATGTTGTTTCAAATTTTCTAATTAAAGAAAATTTTTCCAATGGTGCTTATATTCTCTCTCTCTCTCTCTCTCTCTCTCTCTCTCTCTCTCTTTCTCTTTCCCTCCCTCCCTCTTTCTCTGTCTCTCTCCTTCAATACAGAGGATACATCATTAGGGATTGTTTAAAGAAAACATTTCAAGATTTTTCAAGAGACAGTGAGATATGATGGGTTAATTTTTATTTAGCCTCCTTATTTTAAAAATGTCATGTTACTGAGTCATGCTTAGTCATTCATTCAGTGTCTGGTTAAGCTAATTAACCACAATGTGGTTAGAGCGAATGACATCACATACCTCCTTCAAAAGAGACAGAGAAGAAATGCAGGGGAAGAGAAAGCTGCCAGTAGAATTTTGTTGCATAAAACTGGACAGGAGCAGCCAAAAAAATTGGACAAAATATATTTCAGTGAGCTCTTAGATGGCACAGTCATGGTGGACAGTAAGACATACTGCTATGGGATTATAAACACTTCATACTGACATAAGGAGGGATGGCCAAAGATCCCAATCTGGGAAGAACTAGAGTGAAATTACAAAAACAAGACAAAAACATTTTGTAGAACATTAGTTCAATGGAATGATTGGGGGGGGAGGGTACGTTTCTTTATTGCAGGTCTTTTCAGAGTCTTTGAATTTTTAAAATGCACTATGAACTTTCAAGAGGAGATAGAGAATATAAAAGTCCCAAATCTACTTGTTTCCAGAAATTCTCCTACCCCACTTTTTTTTTTCTTGAGATTTCTTATGACTGGTACTTCACACTTTCCCTTTCATAAGTTAAGACTTTATTAAGACAACACAAAACTGTATAACCTAGGGTAGATTTTCTATGGTTCTTCCAAGATGTGCCTGATGTACACTTCTAAGATTACTTGAAAATTAAATATTTTCTGTTCAAACTTGACAAAGCCAAACAATTTTCTTAAAAATCCCCAAATTTCTCTCCCTAACCTCTAAACTATCCAAGTGAATCAATAAACTAGGTCATGAGAGGAAATTGCAGTTATTTTATATACGTTTTAAAAATCAATGCTCAATTACAATCAGATTATAGAACGGAATCAACATGGCCTGGCTGCATCTCTGTTTAGCTGCCTGGGCTGTGAGCTCTTTGTTCTGGGGTTCTCAATAGCCCCCTCTCTGCTGATGGGGGTGCAGCTGGGCCTCTGCTGCCATCTGATCAAAGCAGCTGTTGGGAAGCCCTCTGCCATTGTTTCTCCTAGAGGCCAAGGGTGTCTGGAACTCCTGGAAGGTGGGATCTTTCCCGCGGGACATCTGCTCCATCCTCTGCTCCTTTTTCTTAATAGCTTCCTTGATGCCCTGGATGTGACACTTTTCCTCCTTTTCTGCTTTCAGCTTCAGGATGTGATGGTTCTTCTCCCGCAGGGTGTTGAGCTCGCGCAGGTGCTGTACCCGGTCCCTGGTGGTCTTATGCCCCTGACTCCTGCCTTGCCTGATCTTCTGCTCAGCCTGTTCCAGCAACATCCTCTTGCGCACCTGCCTCTGTTCCTCTGATTCCCCTGCGCACCACTTCACCTGCTGGGACTGCTTTTCCTCCTTCTGGACCTTCTCCTGCAGCTCCTGGTGCCGCTCCTTCATCAGACCCTGGTGGATCTCTTGGGACTGCTCGGAACTCTGCTCCAGCGACAGTTTCCTGAGGAGCTCCCCAGCCTTAGCTTGACAGTCCATGAGGACTTTACGGGCCTGGTAATTGACTAGAGAACTCAGGTGGTTCTCCGGGATCCTTTTCTGGCCCTCCATGGCATGCAGCTGCCTCAAGTGACAGGCCTCCTCTAGCCTCTTTTGCAGCTGCATGCCGTTCAGCTCCCTGAGGTTCTGCAGCACTCTTTCCTGCTCCTGCAGGCGCTGCAGCTGGCATTGCTTAAGGTGCTCGACCTTCGCGCGCGCCCTCTCCAGCTTCTTCAAGCGCTGGTTCTCTTGGCTCTCCATTTGCGCCCTCCACTCGCTGTCCCGCTGGGTCGCTGGCTTCACCTCGCTGTCCAGCTGCCGGCCGAGCTGCTCGCGGCCCTGGCGAGGCTTGCGCTGCTCCTTCTGTTGCTGCCACTGCTCCTGGTTCTGCTGCAGCATCAGCCGGCGCTCCCTCTCCAGGGTCAGCTGGACTTTCTGGTCCGAGCGCTTCAGCTCCTCCCAGGCTACTGCCGCTTGCTGCTGCAGTTCCCTCATTCTCTGGGCCTTTTTGAGCCGGATCAGCACCAGGGCCAGAATCTTCTGGTCTCTGGAGGACGTCACCACCTCTTCCAGTTTTCTCTTGAGGACCTGAGTGTGCTGGTTCTGCGTCTCTTTGCTGGAGACGGAGGGCTGAGAGTATTGACTGATCAACGACTCGAACAGATCACTGCTATCCCTTTTCTGGGTGCACATACCAGCTGACTGTGTTCGGAGCTCTTTGGAGGGTACAGAGGACTTATCTGTGAGAATTGAGGATGGGGACCAGTGACCTACGTTTCTGCAGACCGGCACTGCCCACTGGTCTCCACTCTGTGTCTTTTCTATCCCCAAAGTTCCAGGACTCAGGGGAGTGTAAACTCCCCGGAGATACGACGGGGACGAATCTTCCTGGCCTAGAGGGTAGCGCGGGCAGGGCTGAGGCTTCTGGGACTGCTGCTGCCAGGCGGGGCTGGGCTTAGTCCTTGCTTCCCCCCAGGCATCTTCCAGGTGCCGGTTGCCCGGCCGGTGCTTCCTGGTGCGGTCCGAGTGCCTTTGGGCCACATGGGTCAGGCTGTGGCTTTCCCACGGAGAGGCGAGGTACCCACGCCGGCGAGGACGCGGGACTGCAGAACAGTGCGGGCGCTGCCTGGGCGCCCCGGCCTCGTTCCCCACTCTGGGAGGCCCGGTCCAGGGATCTACCGCTGGTTCTGGCCCGTCCAACTGAGCCGGGGACTCGCGCTGTCCGCCCCGCGGACATGGCGTCTCCCACTGGTCCAGGTAGGGCCTTGGGGAGAAGTGGCGGAAGACAGCCATGCTCCCTTAGAGCGGTCCCAGGGCCTCCAGGGGACACTGTGGACACCCACCTGATCTTGGGGTCCGCCGCGCCTGTGACGCTCCGACCACTTCACAATGCACCTAGCTCCAACGGGTCCTCGCAACCCTCAGCCTCTCAGTGCTACCACCCAAGCTTTGGTGAGAAGGTCAGAGTGGGAGGGGCAGGCGACTGGGAGGACCTGGTTGAAGATCTGTGAGAAATCAAGGATGACACTTAAAGCTGAGTATTGTGACCCCCGCCAGTGTTTCAGGCAGGAATTTGAACTTGGATTTGCACTTCTTAAGAAACGGAATTTTAAGGCAGCCCAGGCGAAACCGCCACTCTTAGAATGGGATGCAATGAGTGGGACAGTCCAGGGAAGGAAGGGAGGGAGGTGAGGATCCTCAGAGTCACCATCCCTTAAACTGTGCACCTCTACAATGTGCGCAAATTGAGCAACTACGGAAACACATTATTATGCAGCAACCACCCTTTTGGCGGTTATCAAGCGCAAAGTGTGCGTTAATGTTTATGTTTTAAAACTTTTGAACAGGAAAAAGATGATTCTGGTTTCCCCCTAATACGGCAATTAGTGCTTTTGTTAAAATGCACGCAGATGAATGTTGTGCGCACATTTCTGAAGTAGCATCAGTAAACACCATGAAGAAATCACATTTTTTTTGTTCTTTTTCCTACAATATTGTGAGATTCTTTGTCCTTGCTGAGGCACCGCCTGTTAAAAGGGCACATAAATTGAATTTGCATGGCCAAAGGAGTTTAAATCTTCCGCTTCCACTTTTAACTCATGTGATCTTGGGCAAGTTATTTTCCTGACCCTCAAGTTCAGGAAAAGTGGAATTGGGGATCAGAGTTGATACCCTAGCACTGTAGGTCTATTGATGATGCTACAATTTCATCTTCCCATATACAGATTGCTTTGTTCAATAAAAGTTATTTTTATTGTCCTGCTAAGCTTCCATTAAAGGTTTTAAGGCTTAAGTTGGGTGCAAGTGGCTCATGCCCAACTGCTTGAGGGGGCTGAGATTGGGAGGATTGAAGTTCTAGGACAGCCCCAGCAAATAGTTCTTGAGACAATCTCCAAAATAACCAGAGCAAAATGGACTGGAGGCATGGCTCAAGTAGTAGAGCACCTGCTTTGCAAAAATTTTCTACAGATTCCTAGCTTAAGAAAAGATTTAATGGATCTACAGATTCCTAGCTTAAGAAAAGATTTAATGGAATTAATGTAATTTTAAACAGCTTGGGTAAAGTGCTAGGAAGGGGTGGTCCTCAGACTCTTTCATGTTCACACTGTACTGTGAGTCTTGGTTTTTACTTCTCTTCTCTAGGGTTGCTATGGTCTGAATGCTGTGTCCCACTAAAATTCTTATTTTGAAATGCAGTCACCATGATGGTGGTATTATGGGATAGGGGCCTTTGAGAGATGACTAGATCATAAGGCTGGAGCCCTCATAAATGGGAACAATCCCATCCCACTATAAGAAAACCAGCCCCAAGGTGCTGTGAGACCAAAGAGAGAGGCAGACAGATCGAGGATTGCAAGTTTATTGGAGACTAACTGACAGAAGCAAGGTTCTGGGCAGTAATAACACCAGCGATTCCCATGATTTGGGTCAGAAGTAGGAGGCTTATAAAGTGATCAGAACAAAAGTATTTTCATTCAATCAGCACACACCTGGTTTATCTGAAGCTTATATCAAGGGCACCAGGCATGTCTCTGGCACTGCTGGCTCCAGGATCCAGGTTGTTAAGCTCCACATATTGTTCTAATGGTTTTGTTTATTTATAGTATGTTGGGAAACTATGCATGGTAACCAAGTAAGGTTACTCAGTAGCAATCATGGCAGTTACAACTCAGGACGGCTGCAGTCAAATCAAGCTGAATCAGGCTGAACCCATACAGTCGTTATAAAAGGGATCCCAGACAACTCCTTCATCCCCTCTGCCATGTAAGGACAAAGTGGAAAGATGTCTATGACCAGGAAGAGGCCCCCATCAGACAGCAAGTCTACTGGTACCTAGATCTTGGACTTCCCAGCTTCAGAACTGTGAGAAATGAATGTCTGCTTATAAGCTACCTGATATTTTAGTACACCAACTAAATGGACTGAGATGGTACAATGAGAAAAGAACGCGGATAGTAGTTTACAACTATGAACCCTCATTATAGAAGAAAACCGAGTTCTTTCCTATCCTCACCTCATATCTCCTTGGAATGCCACAGAAACTCCAGTTTGTCAGGGCTGGTAGAATTCATAACATTTTCTTCAGAACAAATCTGAGACTCCTCAGAACAAATCTGAACTGATTTTCCCAAAGCTCACTTGGCCAGTGCGGGTAGTTTTGACTATTCCCATTCAAGAAATGTACTTTGGACTGAGACATACTTTTAAGAAAATTATGATCAGGTGTTAATCAGAGGGTCATAGATGCCATGGTCTCGAAGCTACTTGGTAGCAGCCTTAACCACAGTGCTGAAGCCATCCCGAAGAACTGCTGTATCTGGATGATGGCTCACAGCAGCCTTTAGCACTTCTCTAGCTGAGGACCAGAAGTTGTTTCTACCCTAAATTTCTATAGGCACCACTCATACTCTTATTAAAGAAATTAATTTATGTGATTGTAACCTTTACTAGGAGGTAATTAAAAAATTAAACCAATTTGAAATGGAATCATTTAACTTTTTAAAGTTAGGAAATATTTAGGCAGTGAATTTAGTTGTGCTGAGAACTGAGCATCATATCTCTCCGGTTAAGCTTAAATAAACATTTTTTATAGACAAATGTGGCTCTGGCTACTCCCCAGGCCACTTGTCACAGAGGAGCAGTTATTTGGGCAAAAGCATAGTACCCTGAAAGCCAAGAGACTGGCCACCAGCCACTTTAAGCAGTCATTTCACTTGAGTCTCTATTTCCTTGTTCTTATAGTCTCTGACCTGTAAAGTCTCTTTCAGCCCCAAATGAAATTGGAGAAAAGGTTCAATAGAGCAAATGCTTCAGCCTTCATTCTGTAACGTAAAACTGAGTTAATCCATGAGAAATCGCTTACAGCTGTGCAGTGCCTGGCATGTTGAGGCTGCCATTGCAATGGTCATTATCCTTTTGCCAAGAGCACTAAAATCATGGCCATGTAGGGCTGAATTTAGTTTTTTTTTTCCTTTTTCTTTTATTATTCATATGTGCATACAAGGCTTGGTTCATTTCTCCCCCCTGCCCCCACCCCCTCCCTTACCACCCACTCCGCCCCCTCCCTCTCCCCCACTCAATACCCAGCAGAAACTATTTTGCCCTTACTTCTAATTTTGTTGTAGAGAGAGTATAAGCAATAATAGGAAGGAACAAGGGTTTTTGCTGGTTGAGATAAGGATAGCTATACAGGGCATTGACTCACATTGATTTCCTGTGCATGTGTGTTACCTTCTAGGTTAATTCTTTTTGATCTAACCTTTTCTCTAGTTCCTGGTCCCCTTTTCCTATTGGCCTCAGTTGCTTTTAAGGTATCTGCTTTAGTTTCTCTGCATTAAGGGCAACAAATGCTAGCTAGTTTTTTAGGTGTCTTACCTATCCCTCACCCCTTCCTTGTGTGCTCTCGCTTTTATCATGTGCTCATAGTCCAATCCCCTTGTTGTGTTTGTAGGGCTGAATTTAAAGACATAGTTTGAGGCAGAGTCAGAATTAGAACCCAAGGACTCAGATTTCCAGTTCTGGGCCTTGGCTTCTTGCTTCTTCTGCAAGTGCTCAGAATTCATCATGGAATTGTGTATGGCTCACTCACCTCCATTACTGATGGAGTAAAGGACTTAGTCTTAATATTATAATGCCATACATGTTTATTGGAACTCTGAACAAAGATCAGAAAGATAATGTAAGGAAATATAGGCCCCTAAAGTGACCACGTGGAGAGGAGTGATCTGGCCAAGAGATTCTTTATTGCTGGGTGGGAGAGGGAGGGAGCAGAGAGAGAGCCAAGAGAGAGAGGGAGAGAGGGGCAGGGGCTTAAATACCCCTCAGTGGGACTCAGCATGATCTGATTGGTTAGGATCTTATGGTTCATGCTGATTGGAAGTTGGGGCAGAAGGAGGGTTCAAGCTAGACTTGAGGCTGGACTGTGACCCTGGAAAACAGAAGTTTAAGGGTGCAGTAAGAACTGAAACCTATCAGCACCATTATTGCCAACAGATAACATTGCTAGGAGAAACAGATCTAGGTCATAGATATGGCTGGTAGCTAGTCACCTTAGCAGAGTTCCCAGGAGTGGGAGTGTTGCTTCCCTCTGGGTCCTTCACAAAGAAAGGCTTCATAAAGGATGGCAAAGTGGAGCTAAACCTAGGAGGACAGTTAGGATTTCTGCAGACAAGGCTGACTGAGCAGGAACACATATCTAGCTGAGGAAGCTGCCTGGGCCACACTGTGGAGCCTCAAATGTGTGGCACTTCTGGGTCATGTGTGGTTTGTATAGGTGGGTGTGGAAAGTATGCAGTGGAGAGAAAGGTGATGAAGCCAGAAAAGTGGCATGGGCTTGGGTCCTGTGTGGCAGAATTCCCAGCTGTGTCCACAAGAGCTTCTAGAGTCCTTAGAACTCCCTTGGATACCAGAGGGGGTAGGACTGGCTGGGAGTCTTTAGGGCAGGTTCCAATTCCTCCATCCCTGTCTTACACAGACCACTTTAGATTTTATTTGTTTTATGTCTTGGGACTTCTTGAACATCTGGATTAAAAAAAATCCAAGGCTCTTCTGCTTATAAAAAAAAGGGTTATTATCTACCATGTAAAGAAAAGTAGGGAGTCAATGAAAGTCTTGAAACCAGAAAAGTGACCTGATGGGAGCTGTATTTCAGAACACTTACCCTGGCAACAGTGTAGATCAGTGAGGAGGCTGGTGTGCAGTAGGGATGTATGAACCAGGACAATAGCAAGGGGTGGGAGAGATGTGGTCAGGGACAGTTCTGAGCTTGAGGTACCATGCTTCCAGCAATGGAT